GGACCTCTCTCTTTACCCCTCTGTCGACTCCTGCACACAAAGGCTGGCCACCGTCTGTGTGAGATGGCAGCTGTCTGTCCGGGCTTTTCTTGCCCTCCTGGGGACTCTGGCACCCTGCCACCCCATATCGGCTGAGCAGGATCACAGCCTGCAGCGGCTCCTTCGTTCTCTGGAAACCCTCACTGGCTAGCATTGGGGCTGGGTGGACGTGACAGCCAGTGCAGGGGTGGGGACTGGTACTGGGCGTCCCCGCGGCTCCTCTGCATATGGAGGCCCAGCGGGCACTGGGAACATGGCTGGCCAGAGAAAGTCCCTTATTAAAGGAAGCACTCTGGTGGAGTGTGGACAACAGGCTGCTCTGTGCACACTAATTACTCATTTCAGAAGAAACCAAAAGCTGGAGTTGATTGGCAAAGCCAAGGCAGGCATGAGAAGTTTGAAACCTTCACAGCCAGCCTCCTGCTGTCACTTATTTCCCTATTCCAGAAACTCCCTTCCCGGTTCCCTTCTGTCTCCTTTGAGGTTTTATAGTAACTTCTGGGTGGTTAGAGGTCCAGGATAATGTTGGAGAAGGAATTGAGAGGAGGGTGGGTACAATAAAATAAATTAATTTTTAACATGTTTTCCATGTATTAATATAACCTAAACATATTATTGGATTTTTAATTTTATTTCAAAAAAGGGAGAAGAAAAAAAAACTAACTGTAACCTTATGCCCAACACCCTATTACCACTGTTATTAGAATTTTAATATATTTTCTTCCAGTCTTTCCACCATGATTATATAGTTATAAAATATAGTTTTATGAGATTGTGATTGTACTTTACATTCTCCCTTGTATCTTGCTTTTTTCTACTTAACATATTATTCTACACCTTGGAAATGAGTGAATAGATTTAACCCTGCCTGGTCTTCTTGGTAGCCCTAAGCAGGCCTTGGGCCTCTCTCAGTGCATCAGTTTATCCAATGAGATGGGAAATTTATCAACCAACTTCACAAGCATGATTTGAGAAACTACTAAAAAAAACCCAGAAAACTAGAAAAAACTTCAGAGAAACTGTGGCAGGCAGAATCATGACTCCCGAAGATGTCTATGTCCTAATCCCTGGAACATATGAATATATTAGATTAAATGGCAAGGAAAATAAAGGTTGCAGATAGAATTAAGGTTACTAATCAGATGGCCTTAAAATAAAGAGATTATCGGGGAACCTGGGTCACTCAGTTGGTTGAGCTTCCGACTCTTGGTTTCAATTCAGGTCATGATCTCGGGGTCGTGGGATTGAGGACCACCTCAGGCTCTGTGCTCAGCAGGAAGTCTGCTTCTCCTTCCCTCTCCCTCTGCCCCTCCCCCTGCTCACAAGCGAAAGCTCACGCGCTCTCTCTCTCTCTCAAATAAATAAATAAATCTTAATTTTTTAAAAAAGAGATTATCCTGAATTATCTGGGCAGGTTAATGTAATTACAAGGATCCTTAAAAGTGCTAGAAGGAATTGACAGGGAGAACCAGAGAGATAGCAGCATGAGGACTTAGCCCAATTTTGCTGGTTTTAAAGACAGAAGAAGGGGTCACATGCAAGGAATGCAGGCAGCCTGTCAGAACTGGAAAACACCAAATAAAACAGATTATCCCCTAGAGTGTCCAGAAAGAACACAGCCCTGTCAACACCTTGATGTTAGCCCAGTGAGATCCATTTTAAACTTCTGACTTCCAGAACTGTAATATCATAAATGTTTATTGTTTAAAGCCACTAAGTATATGGTAATTTGTCAAAGTAGCAGTAGGAAACTGGGGTGCCTGGGTGGCTCAGTTGGTTAAGCGTCTGCCTTCGGGTCAGGTCATGATTCCAGGGTCCTGGGATCCAGCCCCGTGTCAGGCTCCCTGCCTCGCGGGAAGCCTGCTTCTCTCCCTCCCTCTGTGTGCTCTCTCTCTCTCTTTTGCTCTCACTCTCGCTCTCAAGTAAATAAATAAATTTTTTATTTTTTTAAAAGATTTTACTTATTTGACAGAGACACAGCGAGAGAGGGAACACAAGCAGGGAAAGAGGGAGAAACAGACTCCAGCTGAGCAGGGAGCCCAATGCAGGGCTTGATCCCAGGACTTGAGCCGAAGGCAGACGCTTAACGACTGAGCCACCCAGGTGCCCCTAAAATCTTTTTTTTTTAAAGCAGCAATAAGAAACTAATACAGAGGCCAAGATCAGCTTTCAAACTATAGGCAAAAATGTACTAGATACCCCAAATTCCAGGACAAAGGATTTCCTAACTCTTCTCGGCAACTCCCTGCCCCATTTAGCAAGTTGCCCAGTAAAGCTCCAGAACCAAGCTGATACTTCAGAAATACCCACGAATGGGAAACAATAAGGGGCTCTTGTTCAGATCAAACAGTGCATCATGCCATCTGTGTAGGGACTACAACGTCTCAGAGGAGGCGTGGTCTTATTGCATTCAGAGAGAAGTCATTTGAAGCAAAGATTTACAGGGAGGAAATGAGGCTCCAATTCACCCAGAAAAGGCCTTGAATCTAATGCTTAATATTCCATGGCTTACCACAGTGCCTGGCACATAGAAGATGCTCAGGAAAGATTATTGCATGACCCCCAAATGAAAAAATGGAGTGAGAGAGAACTTGAATCACTTTGCTTCCTCTGCCCTCCCTATAATTCTTTCTTATCATCTGGAAAAATCCTCAAGATTTATGTGAGACTGAATTATTCAGGATCTTTTTGCACTTGAAGTATCTGCCATATAAAATGTCCAGACATCAAAGACCAGTTGATGCTCTGTTTGGATTCTAAACATTCATTTAATATACAAATTCCTAAAGAGTACAGCCAATTGAATAATTAGCCATGCTTTCTTTTCTCTGTTACTCAAATTATTTGTTATTTATCAATCTGTCTTACTTAGCCTTTTTCCTCCAGTGCCTGGTATATTGTTTGATGCATTGTATGAGCAGATGAATGAATGAATGTCTATCCTGGCTCCTGTTTCTCTCTCCCCAGCAGAGGTATTCTTTTGTCCTATGGACTTTGGCTTCCCAGCCCTCTTTTTAGCTGAAGAAGGGTCTCTGGTGTTCTTGAATCCTCAGCTACAGTTGTAGGCTGTCCTGTGGCATTTTGATCTGAATACATCTGAACAGGAGCAAACCACAGATTTGCCCATTACAGCAAGAACCCAAAACCTAAGGCGTTTCTTTCCACATCAAGCAGGTTCTATATTTCCATCACATTTTTTTCTTTTTTCTTTACTTTTTAAAATTTAGCCGTTCTTCTTTGGTAAATTTTGGCAGGATATGGCAACATAACTCAGGCCTGTGCCTTACTGACCTCATCTGACAGTGGTGATTCCCTGATGGGTGGGGAGAAATTGACCAGGAACTAGCAAGAGGGAACTTTCTGAGCTATATTTCGTTTTGTGTGGTGGTTACAAAGGTGTGTACAACTGTCAGATTTTATTAAATTGAACATTTTAGCTCTGTGCATGTTATTATATATAAATTCTGCCTCAATTTAAAAAATTTATAAGAGAATGGGGTGCCTGGGTGGCTCAGTTGGTTCAGCATCCAATTCTTGGTTTCAGCTCCGGTTATGATCTCAGGGTTGTGAAAATCAAGTCCTGTGTCGGGATCCACACTCAAGGCCAAGTCTGCTTGGGATTCTCTCTCTCCTTTTGCCCTTCCCCCCACTCATGCTCTCTCTCTCTCTCTCTCTCTCTCTCAAATAAATAAATAAATCTTTTTAAAAAAAATTCATAGGAGAAGGACTCTGAAATCACAATCTGTTCTTCAGTCAAGAATGTCATGATTTTTTTTATTAAGATTTTATTTATTTATTTGACAGAGAGAGACACATTGAGAGAGGGAACACAAGCAGAGGGAGTGGGAGAAGCAGGCCTCCCGCTGAGCAGGGAGCCCAATGTGGGACTTGATCCCAGGACCCTGGGATCATAACCTGAGCTGAAGGCAGACGCTTAACAACTGAGCCACCCAAGAGCCCCAAGAAGGCCATAATTGATTGGTGATGTCCACCATTGACAAGGGGGAGGCGGATAGATGTCAACACAAGTCCTCATGTTTGTTTTTTTTTTAAAGATTTTATTTATTTATATATATTTGAGAGAGAGAGCACATGAGAGGGGGGAGGGTCAGAGGGAGAAGCAGACTCCCTGCCGAGCAGGGAGCCCGATGCGGGACTCGATCCCGGGACTCCAGGATCATGACCTGAGCCGAAGGCAGTCGCTTAACCAACTGAGCCACCCAGCCGCCCAACACAAGTCCTCATGTTTGCTATTCTTGTTCTTAACTGATCATCCTTAGAGAGTTCTGCATCACTTGAATAATTATAGTATTAACTTGCCCACATTAAAGGATTATAATGAGGTGAAAGTTCTTTGTAGAATATATATCCCCACCTAAGTGTAAGATGTTCTTATTCACATTTATTCCCCATGATGTCTTGCACAGTGGAACTGACTTTGGCAGGTAAGTTCCCAGAAAATTCTCCTGGGCTGAAATGAAATGCAGCAGAACCAGATATTTTCAAAATGCCAAGCTTCCCATTAACATGAACATAGTTTGTCTGTCCCATTATTCATATTGCAAACATTGACCGCCGATACTGACTTGTTGAGCTGACTTTCCCATTACCCTACAGGACCACTTTTTCAGGTACTAAAAGGATTTCCACAGGCTAAACTAAGTAATGTGTTTTCTTTGAAGCTCTTATTCTTTTCTGATGCTTTGTCTCAAGATGGGGTCTGGAATTTCTCATTTCTCCTTCTCCTTCCAACAGCAGATCTGCAGGGGCCTTTCAGAACTTTGCTCTGTGGGCTCTTGGTTTACGTCTCTTGGCTCAGGCATCTGTTTCAGGTGCCTTTAGGCAACTTCCAGGAGTCTCCCAGATTACTGGTGAGGATTATGCTAACTAGCGTGTATCACTGGGAGGCTCAGGACCCAGCAGCTCAGGACTCTGCTGCTTCCTGACTGGTGTCCCCACAGAGGGAGCAGGACAGAGCATGGCAACCGTACCTCCACTTCCGAAGCCAACCAGAGAGCCAGGGCCAACGGCAGATGCAGCCTGGGTATTCAGCCAAGAGATACCTCCGAGGCCTCTTGCGGACATGGCCCCCTGACACCATGCCCAGGCTCCAATGTGCAGGTCAGTGGGGCAATGGGAGGACATACACACTGAGATGCCCTGCCTTGAATTCCGATGTGAGAGTGTGTTTTCCATCAAGTCCTGAAACCCTAGGATTTCAGGTACAATTTTGTGGTCAGGCAAAGGTGCTCAAGCTTGGGAGCTGAGAGCCTCTAGCATACATTTTGCCCTTTGTCCTCCCCCCACATTTGCAGAGGAACATACAGCCTGAAGTCTTGCCTTCTCTCTAGCTGCTCTCAGGACCTTCACACTCCACATCCCAAGCAGAACTTTCTTCCCAACCTTCCCCACCAAAGGACTTCAGATCCTCCAGATCAATCCCTCTCTTTTACAAGATAAGGAAGGGGGGAGGGAGTAGCAAAGTAATTTGTCCAAAGTCATTCAGCCAAAAGCAGAGCTGGGACCAGAAGGCAAATCCTCCCCACACCTCCAGCTCCACATTCACCCCAACACTCCCTAGTTGCCCTTCTGAGGTGATCTCAGATCCTCCAGGAAGTGGGAATGTTAGGCCTCCTCCTCTTAAGGATGGATGCCCTTCTGCTGAACAGAAACCCCAAACGGACTCTGTAAAGGCTTAAAAATGAAAACAGGAAACTGTTGGAGATTCAAGTTACCAGATTTAGCGCATACACACAGAGACCCACACAGACATACACAGACACACAGACACAAAGAGTTAAACTTGCAATATTTGGTACATACTTTTGCTAAAAAAATATTCATTGTTTATCTGAAATTCAATTTTAACTGGACATCCCATATTTTATTTGGCAAACCTGTTGGGGATGAGAGGAGTGAGAAGTAGGATTTGCCAGTGCCCATTGGGTGTTTGCCATTTCTTCAGCACAAACAGACAGGACCAAAGGGAGACTGACTTGCTTCTTGCTTTATAGGTTTACCTTGGGAAAGGAGAGAAAACAGCTCTCTCCCCAGTAAGTGATGACTTGAAGGAAAATGAGATGTGGGTTTATCCATTTATTGGTTTTACCTTCATGGCAGGCCCAGGATTACAGGCAGTTCCATTTATTTAACACTTGTGAGAAAGAGCCTCTTAACCAAAGATACGTTTATCACTGGGTGGGGCAGAGGGCACAGCAGGCCACTGTCCCATAGCCTAGGCCCAACACCTTCAAGGACAAGAGCCCCACTTAACATCAAAAATGTCTCAGACCCCTCTATGGAAGTCATATGCCTACAATGTGTAGTTTAAGGAAAGATTCATGTGTATGTGCATTCTTGGGCCCCTTGCCATAATTTATCACCAAAGCACCTCTTGATGGTGAGACCCTCAAGCTGGAGGAACAATAGCAATACTGTGGTATGAGATCATTGGCCCAATGGCCTCTGCCAGAGAGCTCACATCTCAGAGCTCACTACCTTTGTGAGGTTAGTGTATATTCTCTGGTCCTATCTTGCCACCCCTGTGATAACTCCTTCAGACCCTTCAGGCCCACATTTTCTACAAATGCTTCCCTGACAACTCCAGCCAATATTGAGCTCCCTATTTTCTGACCTTATATCACATTGACATTTGGGGTCACACAGTTGAGCACAGGAGAGCTTTGTCTTTCCAACTGCCTATTAGTGCCTCTAAAAACAGCCCATGTTAGCCATGGTAAGCCCCCAATAAATACTTATAGAATGACTGAATTGAGAATCCTGGGGCCTACAGAACCAAGTAGGGGACATCCAGGAGAAACCTTTGGATTCTCCTCTTGAAGCAGGAGGAGCCTTTCACCCAAGCCCAAAGAAGCAACCATGCTTCTTCCACCAGGGAGACCCAGTTCTTGGAAATGGTGAAGTGAAAGAAGCACAGGTGTGGCACAGGACCAGAAGCACCCAAGACATTGAACAGAGAACCCTCTATGGGTTCTATCTGATTTTTAATCCCTCCCATCTTTTAATTGTCTTCTTTAATGGGCGATGTCCAAAGCCAAGACTAGTGTAAGTGAGGGACCTTGTAGTCATCTCCAAGACCTCTGGACTGGTGATCATGATTTCTACCAATAACTCCTGACCTACTCTTCAGGGTACATCAAGGATTCTGTGCTGCTCCAGGACGATCAACTTAATGTACCAAAGAATCTCAGGTCACAACAGGATCTTTCAGGTGTACCCCCAAAATACCACCTCCTGCCTGTCTTCCCTCCATTTTGGATTCAACAAGGAAAATCTTTTGAGCAAGGTACATGTTGATTTTATGACCAGATCTCAAATATTTGGATTTTTAACCCTTTAAAATGGAGTTGCCCAAAATAAAGTCTAGGGATTCTGGGTTTCTTTGTCTTTAGAGTCTAGACCAGAACTATCCAACAATACTTTCTGCAATGATGGATTATTCTATAATATATGCTGTCCAAGTAGTAGCCATTAGCCACATGCGGCTATTGAGCACTTGAAATGTCGGAAGTGTGACTGTGAAACTGAGTTTTTGATTTTTACTTACTTATAAGTAATTTACAGGTAAACAGCCACATGCGGCTATTGGCTACTGTATTAAACAGTACAGGTCTAGACTCTAGATTTTAGATGATTTCTTAGGCCTGTTCTACTCTAACATTCTTTAATTCTATGGTTTTGTGGCAATATCATAAGAAAAAATACAGGCGTTGGAGGAATGCCTGTTCTCTCTCTTACTAGATGTAAGATCTTGAGCAAGTCACTTAACCTCTTTGAGCTTCTGTTTGCTCATCTCTGTAATGAACATAATAAGACCTGCCTTATTACTGTACAGAAGATTATTGTGAATTGTCTGTAAGCTGTTCAGTACTATGGGGGTTTACTTATCAAAGTTATTCTTGGGAACTTGAAGCAATAAAAGAGCCAGAAATTGCCTTTACTAAGGGAGATTGGAAAAGATGACTGAGTAGCACTAATGGACAAAGAATAAGACATTGGCTAGTGCCAGGGTTCTTGAGAAAAGGGAAGGAAAGAACAAGAGCTTAACATAATATAAAGTTAATTTTTCTGAAATGAAAAAGGAATTTTCCAGAAATAATGATAGTGCCTAGCCAATTCTTGTCCTTGGGAAAGGATCTGTCAGGATAAGTAGAATATCTGATCTATCCAATGAATGGAGAAGAATGTGGCAGGTTCTCATTAAACATTCCTACCATATACCTCCCTTAAGTCTTGACTCTGGAACCAGGGAATTTTGATCTTAACCTGATCCACATATAGTTCATATACAGGAAATATGCTGATCAGGTATTTCTCTTTGTAAATTAATACCCTGGCTTATAGGGTCTCTATACACTTTGCTAATGTGGATCAACATCCCTGAAACCAGTTGATTCTGGGACACTAAAGAGATCAAGTTTCTTGGCCATCCATGTCCTGGGAATGGGTGAATTTGCCCAGGGAACGCTCCAGTGTTGGGACCTTCTGTCCTTCCCCAGGTGGCACTCCATTTTGACATTGCCTTATGCCCTCTCTCTTCAAAAATCTTACTGCCTCCAGTTAATATCCTTAGATTTCGATGCCCTAGGGTCTGTAAATACTAGACAGGGGATTGCAGTACTTTCCTCGTTTTGGGAGTAGATCAAGACTGCACACCAAAGGGATCAAGTGATTTCCTTAATTAATGCCATATGCCAAGGAGCTGTAACAATCGGGAAGTAAACAGAGAGGCCATATAGAATTGTAATTAAACATGTGGCCATTAGCACCAGATCCCAAGCCATGTGACCTCTCTGGGCTTCAGCTTCCTCATTTATAAAATGGAGATGACCACGCCCACCTTTGCTTCACAGGGTTGGATGTTGGAGTTAAATGGGATAATGCAGTATCTGGCACATAGTAAGTGTGCAGTAAATGCTAGCATAGACAGCCCTACCTTGTGTATTTAAGCATAATCACTAACTAATTGCAATGCCCCATTGCTCATGATCACAAGGATCAAAAATCAATTTGCAAAGAAATAAAAACAGCTCAGAGGCTGTAACTTGGACCCTGACTGATGGTTTTATTGGTTTTAATTTCATCTCCCCTTGGCCTCCCTCTTTTTTCCAGATACTTTATTCGGAAAAGTAGGGAAAGTCCCATCTGCAAATATAACATTTCCCCAACAATGTGATGTTGGTCATGTCACTTATGATCCCTGCATCCTTAGTTTGCTAATCTGTAAAATGGAAGTAATGGTATCTGCATTCCACCTTCTCTGGGTTGATGTAAAAAAAAAAAAAATCACAGAAGAGGACAGAGGTAAAAAAAGCTCTCTAAGACCTCTAAATTGCTACTCCAATTCACATTATTTGGGTAATTTGAATCCATATTTTGAGACAGAGAGACCAAGTTTTATGGTCTCCTTTCAACAACTGAACCTTTCAATACCTTGCTTGCATACCTGTCTCTATTAAGCATAAGCAAATGAGCCAGAGATGATGTTTACTAAGAAAAATCTTGGTTTCCCTTGCATAGATTGAGTCATATACTCAATATCACCTGGGATACAGCCAAAGGGAAGAATGCTTCTCTATATCCCCTACCCACAGAGCCCCCTGCCCCAGCTCAGACAGTCTACCTTATAACACTCTCCACTGACTGAGTGGCCACTTGGCCAGAGTTTCACTTCCTCTACCCTCAGAAATGCATTTGGTTCCAGGTGAACCTGACCAAGAAGGATGAACCTGAAGTCAGGCTTGGCCCCAAAGGATCATTCTAGAATACACAAAAAGGTCTTTAGTGCCACACCCTATATGGCGTTGAGGTCCCCTTGAGGCAGGTCTAGTGTGGCCCTGAGCCTCCCCAGGCTGAGGGGTCCCCAGGGCTCATCAGGTTTCCCTGGGCCACTAAAACCTGAGCAGACCCCTCTAAACCTGAGCCTGAGTCTGCCTCTGTTCCACCCACATTCTTGGCATTGGCTCAGACCCCCAAACTGTCAGGAGCCAATGGGCAAAGGAAGGAGAGCTGGAGGGAAGGAGTAGCCTCACAATTGGGCATTTGGCTTTTGACCCGATGACACCAAGGAAGGGAACGACGCAGGGAATGACGAGGGTTGGGGAGTATAGAGGGAAGGTGAGGCTGGCTGGGAGTCTCCAGAAGTCTGGAGTTCCAACATATACAGGGCCCCTGAGAGGCTTCCAGAGCCCCTGGTTAAAAGACAGCCCCATATTGTTCCACAGAGCAGCATGCCAAGAGTGGAGGTGTTGCTAAAGCAGCTCCAAACAAGGAAGTTTTGCCAGATCGTTTCAGCAATAAATCTACCTTGAGTAAGTGATGAAAATAGCTGCAGGACCCTTTACCCCATCGATGAAAGATTTGTTAACTATGCTGGAGTTATCTGTTGACTCAGATCCTTCCTGAGGGTTGCACAGACAGGGTAAGTTCAGAGAGCTAAGCAGCCGTCCATCACAGTGCATTCAGCAGAGCTTTTCCCCACAAGTAGACACCAGCAGGCAGCCCAGGAAATCAAGTGCTTCCGACCAAGCATCTCAATGAGCAGGGCTGCCAGAGAGCCCACCATCATCGCACCACTGTGACCCTCTAGTCCCTCAGTTTGCAAAGGGCCATCACATTCATTAGTTTGTATGAGCTCCAGATAACTGTGTGAGGAAGCAAGGGCAAGGAATTAGTATCCCCATTTTACAGATGAGGAAACAGAGTCCAATAAATGACGACTCAATCCTGAGCCTCCTGATTCCGAGTGCAGTTCTGTTCTATAGACCTGGCCGCCACTTCCGCGAAGGCATTAGCAGAAATACGGAAAAAAGGAGGGAAGAGGTACAAGGGCCTCCATCAACACTTTTGGTCAGAAGAGCAAGAAGGGAGGCAGCTTGGAAGCAGCTAATAACACCATGCCCATTTCTGGGTTTATAGGGCTGACCCACTGTTCACCTTTGCAGGTCAGCAGGGCCTGGCCGGAGGGGAAGCTGGGGCTAGCGGACGCATGGACCAGGGCTCCGTAGCCAAGAACTACAGCAGTCAAGGGATTCACTTGCCACAGCTCAGGAAGCAGCCATGGCAGGAAGCCGAAACCCAGGCTGAGGTACCATTTCTGATGGGCTGCCCTCTGTCATTGTTCCTCTTGACTTCAGAGGGGATATGCCCTCCCTTCACCTCTTCTTGGGGTTCCTCCAGAGAAGGGAAGAGGACTTCGAGCCTATTGACCACTGTTTCCCCAAAGTGTCACGTGTGGAACACTGCCAGTGGCTCGATGAAAAAAAAAGATTTTTGTGGTCAAATACATTGGGGAAATGCGGCATACCATGTTCTCCTCCTGGAGGGTCACAGGACACATGTGAATATGGACCATTTGGGGAAGTTCTATAGGTGAAGTAGCTGGTTTAACTTTAGCCCATGGTTTTCCAAACTTACTTAACCACAGAGTCCCCCTACACTCTTCACCCCATCTAGGCAGCTGTCGTCTTCTCTAGAGAAAAGAGCTCTTGGCCTTAGAATTGGAAAAGGCTTGGTTGGGGTCCTGCATCTGACAAATCGTGGTGAGCCTGATAAAGAACCTTAACTGACTTGGAGCCTGAATTACCTCCTTTGTAAAATGGAGCTGTTACCATACATACTCACTAGGCTGCTCTGAGGATTAAATGCATTAGAATATAAACATGCTTTCTAAACTCTAAGGCCTGTGTGTGTGTGTGAATGTGTGTACAAGATAACAGTGGTTCAGAGCAACGTAGACAACACATGCTCCTGTCTTTAAGCTCATCTGACCGACAAGAAAGTCACGTGCCACTGTGAGCTGCAAAGGGGGAGAAGAGAGGTGCCACGGGGGAGAAGGGCAAGAGGGAGAAACATTTTACAATGCATAAAGGCAAGGATCTAGAGCTTCATTTTGATTTTTAATTTTTTTTTTTTTTTTTTTTTGCAGGAAAGCACTATATGAAATAAAAAAAGAAAGAACTGTGTGTCAGGCATGGTTAAAGTTCATTCTTGCTCTCACAATAATACAATGTTTTCTTATAACAAATAGCATTAGAGATCATACTGTTACAACCTTGTTTTTCTTCCTAAGCTGCAAAAGAGACTTCTTCCTTGCAACAAGAGTCTAGCCACAAGGTCTGACTGACCTGCTCTGTTTCTTTAGAAAGCCTGTTTACAGGAATGTGTATCTGTCGTTCCCCAGGACGCATCAATAGAGAATCACCATCGTATACACACTTCAAAGCAGAGCCACAATGAAAACATAACCTCCCGAAGGGCCTTTGGGCATGCCCACATGGATCATTCTTGGCTCCTGAGTGACAAATCCCACATTACATTCAATGGAGGGGCCTTCCCCAATAGAAAGGCAGATCTCAGCGGTAAGAAGCCACATGTCTTGCTTGTTAATCTGGGTAACCCTAATCATGCGGAGTTCATTTGAGAACACTGAGGCATGCTGAGTGTCACTTCCTCGGGCCTCTCATCTTAGAAAGTAACAGCCAAAGTCCATTGGAAGGTGGCAACAAGACTGCCAGCCTCCTTTTTGCCTAGTACTCAAGCACACGCATTCTGCAATCAGACTGCCTGGGTGTAAGTTACTCTCACTTTCTAGTTGTGATCTTGAGCAAGGTATTTGGTCTTGCTGAGGCTCCGTTTTCTTGCCTGTAGAACGGGGATAACAATAATACCTTCATAAGACTATTATGGTGATTAGGTGAGTTACTGGATGTAAAATACTTTGTATCATTCTTTTCCTATAGTTAGCACTTAATATGTGTTAACTGTTAATATTATCATTATCATTCTCTCCATCACCTGACTTGCCAGCAAGAACCCAACCCAGGTAATGAGATTAGGACTCCCTGAACCTGCCTCCACTAAAGCCCTGGCTCAGTGCCTGTTCTTGCCTCTATTCCTGTTAAGCCAAAAGGGATAAAAGTTGAAAGTCAACTGTCCATCCTCATACCTGCAACTAATAAGTTCTCATTCCCACCCTGTTTCCACAGACAGACAAGGGAATATAAGACTCCACAAGGGCAGAAGCTGCCACTTGTTACAGGAGCCTCCTGCTGAAAGATGCCTTTTCCCTCCTATAGCACCTGCTACTGGCTCGGAGAAAAACACAGCTGGGGAAGTGAAGAAGAAAAAGGTTGTGTGTGTGTGTGTGTGTGTGCGTGCACGTGTGCATGTGTGCTTGCCCTTAAAAGATTAATCTCAGTCTAGGAACAAGGCAACTCAAAGGGATGATGCCTCAAACAGAGAACTGGCCTTACTCGCTCTTGAGCTCACCATGTGGGGCTGAAATAAAACTGTTACAATTTACTAAATGTTGAAAATAGTGAAGTACAAGGAGTTTCAACTGCCCCCCAGTTCTACCTTAGAGCACATGATATTACCGCACTCTGGGGGCAACAGAGTCCCTTGTGCTATTAAGGGGCTGGGGCTTATCTGTAAACATATAAGGACAGAATTTGAGCTTGCAAGCAGTTGACCCACTTCAAATTCAAAATGCTGGCGATCTCAATCCAGCAGTGGTTTTGCTTAATTGAGGACCTGTCACTTTTGAAAATGTACAGTAAATTTGGCAGTTTTACCAACCTTTTCAAAAGTCAAGTACACCTTTTCCCCTCAGGAATGTTCCTAGCTGTCTCTGGCCTCGTCCTGCTTTGAAATTCTATGTGGGTCTTCGGGGGTTTGAAGGTACCTGTGCCAAACAGGAGCAAGCAGGGGCTCTGGAATGTTCTGCCCTGTAGCAGCTGCATGAACTCAAGCAGGTCACCCACCCCTCTGAGCTGCACTGACCTCCTCTGTGCATACAGACCATCATGCCCACCCCACAGGCAGATGGAAGGATAACATGAGATGATGCATTCCCGTGGAAGTATCTTGTCTTGGACTGGGAACGATAGCAATGTTAGTTCGTTGTGGGGATTCACAGTCTCCGAAGTGGCGCTGGAGGAGCTCCAGGTGCTCCTGATGCCAATGAAGGAGGTTATTTTCAACCTGTTCAAGATTTTCTCAGATTTCCTGTGTCTAACCTGATCAAAACCTTCCCATCCACACCAGAAGGGCCTCTGTCTTCCCAGGTTCCTTTGGACCACGAGTAAACAGGAGGCCTGATCTGCCAGAGTCACTGCAGGCCTGAGGAAAGCCCTCGATCCCATACCCCAGGTCAGCCCAGAACCAAGCCAGGCTCAGAGGACGGGAGTCCTTTCCTCCAGCCCATGTATATGGGTTAGCAGAGGAAGGCAATATTTTCCACTATACTGAAACTCTGTAAGGTTTTAATTAGAATAAAGAAATTAAGGATTGGTTTGTCAGCATACCTCACACAGATCATTTGGGTTTCCACATAGATTTCTCAATGCAAACCTTGTCAAACAACACACACAAGGTCAGTATTCAGAAAAGGGCAGTTGGTGGGCAGCTGGTACCTGGGCTGCGAAGGTCTCCAGGAACATAAAGATCCTATGTGCGTGCATTTGATTAATCATTTTCTTAATGTCTTGAAATCATAAAAATCTCCCTGCATATACTTGGTTGAATTTCCTTCCTCATTCAACTCTAAACATGGAGGATTCTTACGTGTGTTTCTGGTCATTTTTTTTTCTCTTTGAACACTAAAAAAAAATGAGAAACGTTTTTATTTTTCCTTCTGTGAAATTGAACTCCTTGAAACCCAGCATGCATGTACATTTCACAGAGCCAAGTTCATATGTTAAAAGCTACAAACTAAAAGGACAAATTTTCAGCAACTTTTGTTTTTTAAAGATTTATTTATTTATTTATTTATTTATTTGAGAGAGAGAGAGGTGGGGAGGGGCAGAGGCAGAAGGAGCGAGAAACCCAAGCAGACTCCGCGCGGAGCACGGGGCCCAACATGGGGCTCGATCCCAAGAGCCTGAGATAACGACCTGAGCCGAAACCAAGAGTTGGGCACTCAAACAACCATACCACCCACATGTCCCTCAGCAACTTTTGAATAACTGGAAAGAGGAGGCTCTAAGTACTACCCCAATGTCTCATTCTCTCTCTCTGGACACACACACACACATGCATGCACACACATGTATTGGGGTTTTTTGGACACAAAAAAACTGGGCTAAAGTTGTTGCTGATTCTGTCACATGGTGATTCATTTTTAGCTCTGTTCATATCGCAGAAATGTAGAGACACCTAGATATCCTGCAAGTGGCAAGATTGGACATTAAACCTAATGAGAGAAGAGTCTACTCTCAAAGAAATATAGAAAAAATTCTAATTCCAAACACGATTGTAACTACGTGTAATTAGTTCATTTACTACTCACGGCAACCTTATGAGGTAGGAAGTATGATTACTTCCATTTTACAGAAAAAGAATTTGAGGCTTAGAGAGTTTTACATAAAGTAAGCAAGCACAAATGCATATTCCTGCTTTCTACCCTTTTTAACCTAAAAGGTTGCACAATGTTCTGTACCCTGTTTTTTTCCCTTGGCAACATATGTAGAGGTTCCTCCTCTCTGTACACGGAAATCTCAGCTATATTATTCCAATCTGGCTTAATTTCCCCGGCTGCAAGACAAAGAAAGACTATAGTTTGTCTCGAAGGCTGGTGAATTTATCACGTTTATACTTCTCAGGGGAGTGAGAAGCTGGATTAAGGGAGGGGCATTGCCAGGTTCGCAAAAAGCGAAGCGGCGCCGCTTTGATCAGACAGCTAGCTGCGGGCTTGGTTGGCTCTACGTCTCAGCCATGGGTTCTGAAGCCACGTCGCACCCCGCAGCACCTGGCATCAGATTCACAAGAAGACACAGTGTCGTTTGTCCTCTGCAAGCAGCAGTTTTTAAATACCTGCCATGTCGGGTTTTGTTTTGTTTTAAAAATTTTCTCCAGGTGCCAAAGGCTTTGAAATTACCCCCTCTCTCAGAAGAACAGCCCAGAGTCCTGGACCCCCTGAGGAGTGAACCTCCAGCAGAGCTCTTCACCTTCCCAGTGGAGATTCATTTCCACACCCAACAGCCCCCAAAAGAAAAACTACTTGGAAGAGGTAGGTCCCTTATGTTTGGGTGTTCCTCATGGAACACAGGCAGGCCGGTAAGAACTGGGATGGGGGTCTCCCTAATGTAACCCTCTCCTAAATCATGGTTGATCCTCCCCGGGGCTATCCCCTTCAGAGAATGATTTTTAAAGGAAGAAAAAGGGTCAAATCTAGAAGAAGGTGTCTTCTGGTCATATTCATATGTCCCCATATGGTAGCAAAGATGGCCTCCTGCAATTTCATGCTAACCTCTTACCTGTTAATCGGACTAGAAAGGATAAGCCCCTTAAAAGCTCTTGTAAAAGTACCAGAATTGCCTCTCATTGGCCAGGCGTGGGTTGTATGCCCAACCTGGACCCAGTCACCACAGCTCAGACAGTGAGGAGTGCTCATTAGCTAGGCTTCAGTTGCATGCCTAGCCCCAGAGTCAGGGAATAGACACAGCTCCACCCAAACCACATACGTGAGCAGGGGAGAGATGGGCCTCCAAAAGAAGAGACAACTGGCAAAAACCACAGACATCTACAAAACTTGTCTTTCTCCTTGTCTCCTAGCAGCTCCACACCCTGAGCCAGGACCAGAAACAGAAGAAAAGGCCAGGCCTTTATGGAAACCTCCCCTGAAGCATGCATCCTTAGAAAAGCCAAGGGAGTTAACCGTGCATCTCCCAATGGACACAGGCAGGGACATGCTCTCACATCAAGGTAGCTATTCATTCCCTCCAGCACCCCACAGGACTCTCACCCCGAAGGGAAGCAAGGCAAGATGCACAAGAGTCCTCAGCCATGAAAAAGGAGGCTGGAAGGGAGGCTAGCTCATCCCCTGCCCCTTGAAGATGACTTAGTTCAGGTAGCACTTGCCTTAGCCAAAGTGCTATAATGAAACCAATTCAGTGTCTAGCTCATGCAGCTTACTCACTGAATCATCCCCCTACTCATAGTTTCTGGTTGTAGATATAAAACAGCACCCAACCTACTGAACATTTCTGCACACTTTATAGTCTATCCTATGTGTTTAACCAATGAAATTTCATTTCTAATCAATTTAGGAATGCGTATTTATTCATTAAAAGTCATAATATCAATGAAAGACTTCACTCCAATTTTTCAAAACATCACATGGACATTTGAAACTATACACATGAGTGTATCTAAATGTATTTGTTATGTGTTGATAGGCTGGAAATAATGCATCATATTTTGAAAGCCCCTCATTTTCAGAAAACTGAACCTCCTTTCCAAAGGGCAGAATGACTATATGACAAATGCTAAGTGATCTCTGACTAGTGGTAATCAGAAGTAGAAAGATGAGCATTCATATTTATGGAGTTCTCCTTCTGTGCCAGGCACCATCCTCAGTTTATCTCACTTACTCCTCACAACAACCCTAACCTCATTTCACAGATCACAAAACTGAAGCTCTGGGGCGCCTGGGTGGCTCAGTCCGTTAAGCATCTGCCTTCAGCTCAGGGTCCTGGGATGGAGTCCCACGTCAGGCTCCCTGCTCAGCGGGGAGTCTGCTTCTCCCTCTGCTTGCAACTCCCCCTGCTTGTGCTCTTTCTCTCTCTCAAATAAATAGATAAAATCTTCAAAAAAAAAAAAGAAAGAAAGAAAAAGAAACTGAAGCCCTGACAGATAAGTAATATGTTTGAGGTCACACAAATACAAGTGGCCTAGCTGGGACTGGAGCTCAGGACTTCTGGGGCCAGAATCCGTCCTCCCACCCATTACACTATACTGTCTTTCAGAATAAACAAAACAATGAGCCCAGGTCAGGATGTTCTTGAAATGTTTCAGTTTTGAGAGCTTCCTTTGATTATTGGAGCAGGGGCTTGTTTACTCTTTCTCTTAAGTGAGAGTTAACATCCTAAAGACTCTGAAGTTTCCTTAAAAAAAACCAAACAAACAATTATGGGCAAGGGTCCTCTGTGTGCAAACAGTTGTAGGAAAGCAGCTTTCTATCTGTGCACCACAACGTCCAGTGCTCGGCCTGAGCCACTGGGATCAATGGCAACAAATGAATTTCATCTTTGGTATCCTCACTTCACACGGCTCTCCACCTGTTTTGAGCTGCCATGTCCACCAAGGGTCTAGAGCTTGTCCATCCTCTGCCACCTCTAGAGCTTGTCCATCCTCTTCCCCAAGGGGAAGCTGGTCTAAGAAGTCCCTAATACCTTGGTGTTAGCTAGTTCAGTATGTGACCCAACTTAGTGGTAGATGCATAAAGAAGAGTCTAAAGAGGCAAGATTTGCATGGCAATCTTTCTTACAAAGATTCCTGGGACAGGTGCCTGGGTGACAGTCAGTTAAGCGTATGACTCTTGGTTTCAGCTCAGGTCCTGATCTCAGGGTCCTAACAGCCCCATGTCAGGTTCCTCCCAAGCATGGAGTCTGCTTGACACTTTCTCTCCCTCTCCCTCTTCCCCTCTCCTTCCCCTCCACCTAAAATGAATAAATAAATCTTTATTTTTTTTAAGATTTTATTTACCTAAGAGAGAGGACATGAGAGAGAGAGATCACGAGCAGAGAGCCCGATGCAGGACTGGATCCCAGGACCCCACGATCATGACCTGAGCCGAAGGCAGACACTTAACTGACTGAGCCACCCAGGTGCCCCAATAAATAAAACTTAAACAAAAAAAGAAGATTCCTGGGGCAAGGGTGTTTAAAGCTACTAAGCAGGATTGTCCCATTGCCAGAGGTTGCATGTACCCATTTACTTGCTTAGCCCTAGATTATCTCACCTCTAATATCATAGAAATAAAGCCAGATTTTATATATGCACATATGCCATACATATTTTATTGCTGAACCATTGAGATTAAATTGCAGACTTTGTATATTTCTTCCCTTATCAGCACATATCTCCTAAGAGCACTGATTTTCTCCCATAACCACCATACTCAAGAAAACTTATTTTTAATATATAGTCCATATTCAAATTTTCATAATTATACCAATAATGTTCCTTGTAGTTTTTCGTCCCAGTCAATCCAGAATTCTACTCAGGATCATGTATTGTATTTAATTGTCCCATGTCTTTAGAATCTTGTTTTTCATGACATCAACATTTTTGAAGAAGAGAGGCCAGTTGCTTTTCAGAATTATGCTCGATTTTGATTTGTCTGTTTCCTTGTGATTAGATTCAGATCCAACATTTTTGGCAAGAACAGTATGTAGGTCATGATACGTCTTTCTCAGCATATCACATCAAGAGATAAGAAATATCCCTTCATATTTATTCCATTTGTTATCAATTGTTTCATTACAGGGGATGTTAAAATTCATTATTTATTTAAAGGTGGTGTCTACTAGATTTCCCCATTGTAAAGAGACCTTTTCCCTTTGAAATAAATAAGTAGCCTGGCACACTTTGCAATTATGTGTGAAGCCAGCTTTTAAACACAACAGCAACAGTGTGTTGAATATAAAATAAAGACCACTCTCTGAGATTAAGACAAGGTCTCCATCACTTGGATGACTGGGTTTCACTCTTCCTAGAGTAGTCCCTACTGATTTTGAAAAAGAACTGGAGAAAGGGAACAGAGGTGGAGGGCAGGATGTGCTTTGTGGAGCATTATCATCAATCCCATTACCCTCTAACTAGCATCTGGAAGGTGCTACTTTGTACTTTATGACCTTGAGGAGCCATGTGATCATTGGTTCTGCTTAGAAAAATTGCTTTGTGGTTGGATCTGTAGCCAACAATCCCATGAGCTCTAAAGCTGGTTGGAGTCTCTCTAGTTTGAGCCTTTGTTTTGGGGGCTAGAAGGCTCTCATAGCCTCTCTAGTCCTTTTTCTCTCTCAGGAGCCCATCACCAAGATGACAACAACAACCACTGTTCAAGTCGTCCCAGTTCTTGGAAGCTCCCCAACTGAAGGACCACTGTTCTAGCCACGTTGGCCTCCATGGGTGGTGGGAGGGAGTCACTTGGCCTCCACTCCTTAGCAAGGCTAGAAAGAGGGACAAATTTGAAGAATGAGTGGAATAAACCAGCCTCAGCACAAGGAGCCATCAACCAAGTCAGAAAAAGAGGTTCTCTCTCCTTCTTGCTGATTCAGAAGTTTTCTCACTTGTGTTTTTTCTCCTTTTGCTTTGGAAGATGGTGATGCCCCACCCCAGAATGTGACCCCACCATTGTCCCTGATTAAAGGAAGAAAAAGTCCAGAGAGCCAGAGGGGCCTGGATAGTCCCAGGACATCAAGCTGCAGCAGCTCCATAGGCCCCTTGGATGTGAGAAGGGCCAGGGGGGCACTCCCAGCAGAAGGACAAGGTAATCACTCCTGGGGTGATTGTTCCTCCCTCCCCCCTCCTCAACTTGTCTGTGGCTCTGGGATCATTTTAATCATCTGCCAGGGCCACACAGCAGCTGTGATGTAAGCTGTCTGAAAGCCACCCCATTGAAAAGGGGGAAATCAGCAGTGTTTCCAACAATGTCTGGGATTAATGTTCACCACGAATATTCCCAAAAGAGTCAGTACATGTTTTAAGGGTTTGCTGCACCAACACGCACTGCCAAGCTGTTCTGTGCTCTCCTCACTCCTGGCAGCAGTGTGTGATGACACAGCTCCCTATGCTCATCAGGGAGACACGCTCCTGGATTTACCAAGCATACTCAACACCCTCCCTGGGGCAAAGGAGCCTGCTGACATGACCCTGCCAAGAGCAAGAGTCCCCGGAGAGAAGCCCCCCTCCAGCCCCGTGCAGAGCCTGAGGCCTGTCCACAGAGAGAGAAGGACTCTGGATTTCTCTTGAAGGGCGAGGCAAAGCAAATCCACTTCCTCTATGACTTAGGCCCACTGAAAGTTCTTATCCTTAAGAGCCAACAGTCTAGGAGGAGACTAAGATGCTTATACAAGAGCAATAATGCAGAGACAGAGCAGGAATCGCTTCCATGGGGGCTGTGATCTAAAGGCAGCTCATAAAGCATAAATTGCTTAGAGTCCAAATTACCCCCTGAAAGTCCCTTAGGGAGGTGCCGTGCTGGACACTGACAAAACCATTTTCTAGAAAGAGCAGCCACCCAGCTGTCCCTCCTTCGTGAGAGTGTGGGGCTGTTGTCTCTGGTTGAACACCAGATGAAGGAGACTGGTGTGTGTTTGGGTGCCAGACATGTGAAGAAAGGATCTCTGTTAACAGCCGAATCACACTTGGGGCTGCGAGAAACTCACACTCTGAGGGGCACGTGGGAACCGAGAGCCACAAAGACAGCGGGTATGGTATCTTTCATTTTCATCTCATGCTCACTCAGGGACAGCATGCCTCACTCTTTAAGTCTCTCCCTCTCTCCCTCCCCATCTCTCTCTCCCTCCCCCCTCCCCCAAGCATTTATAGTTGAAGCCTTGTAAGCGTAAATTAAATACATAGGTCAGTAACTCCATTATGTATTTGCAGCTTCTCTGCCACTGAAATGGTCCAAATCAAACCTCTCTCTCTCTTTCTCCAAAGACATTATTTTCACTTATAAACTATTTTGGCCCGGAACCTTTCTCTTACAACCCCCTCCCTTTTACACTTGCATGGCAGGGATCCTCTGTTAAATTTGATGCAAATGAACCAAACTTTAGCCATGGTCATGTCAGTAACAAGGGGGTTCCTAGGAGGTTGCATAGCCCAGGACCAACCACAGCAAACACATACACACACCCATACTCGGACATTTTTATAAAGGGAGAATCTGATTAGAATGAATGCCAGGGCCATGACTACGATAAGAGTGCAGCCTAAAGCCTCAAGTGTGTTGGGTAAGTGTATGTAAATGAATGTGTGTATGAGAGCACATGTGTGTATGAGGGTATGTGTAAGCTTTCACAGCTATGGGAGTTCTTGTGTATATATATATACACACAAGATGTGTGTGTGTGTGTGTGTGTGATTGTGCATACATGCATACCTGAGAACACTGTGCATTTGTTGGTGTGTGTGTGTCCTTGTTCATGCATGGCACATGTGTACATGCATGCACACCTACATACGCGGTTGTGCACACATGTGTGTGTGTGTGCTTGCTCTGCATATATATGTGTGTGCACACCTCTCTATAAATGTGTGTGAGTTTCTCTGCGTGTGTGTGTGTATGTCATGCCTCCGTATATGTGTGTCCGTGTCTGTGTCCTTACAAGCATCCACTGTGGATGGTGGCCAGCTCTACTCCTGAGCCCTTTGCTTCAGTGACTTGGAAGGTAAAGTTATAGAAACACCTTCAATACTTCTAAGCAACAGAGGGAAATACAGCTTCCTTCTCCTCACTGGCCTCGGGACCCTGGAGTCACAAAGCAGTCCCAGCATTGGTCCATAGGGTGTGGTTGTCCTGCAGAATGCTGCATAGAGACACATGGTGCAAAGAGGAAGCAGAGGCTGGAGTCACCAAGCCTTGTGCCCAGGGGCTGGGCTACACGCCCCCAGCACAAGGGGCTCCTCACCAGCCTCGCCGTGCCTAGGTAGGGCTGCTTGAGTCCAGAGGGGCCTCTTCACCAGACTCTCACAAAGACATGACATAGGCTAGTGGGGCCCCACGCTGTTCATCTCACACTGATGTCGAGGGCAGGGCCTACATGACGGCCTTGCTCTGCTGAACCCCAGGAGTAGGGCTGGGCCTGCACTCTGGCAAGCACCTGAGCACACTGGCATCTACCTGCTGGGGATTTGGGGAGCCTCCCCTGCACTGGTATTAACACTAGTCATGCTTGTGCTTATTTTCAAGAAGATTCCAGAGACCCCACACTGGGACACTTCTTGCCAGGTCCAGATGGAGAAAACATCTGCCTGTTCCTCCCCAGGCCTACTGAAACCAAGGAGCCTCTTTCAGGTACAGGTAAGATGATACCTCCCAGGCCTGCCTCACTTTTATATGGGAATATTTTACCTGTAGCTTCCAAAACTTCCCAGCAGCAGAGACATCATTAAAAACAGATGCAAGTCAGCCAGTTTCTCCCTCTCACTGACACAGAGGTGCTTCTGTAGCTCAGACACAATAACCCAATGTTTGCATGACAAGTTTGCTCTTGCTGGAGCATCTGGACAGGGAAGTTCCTGTGGAATGGCTTGGAGGAGGTCTAATGTGCTCTGTTGAGGCCTTGATGAGAATGATAAGCCCTTTTGGTAATTGCCCAAACTAAACACTGCCTTTTCTCTTGTTTCCAACCACCCTCCAGAGATGGAGATGGCTAATTGGTAATCCAATCAGGTATCCTTGTTATATGCATCAGTTCATTGCTGCGAATCATCTGGCTTCTGACAGATATCAAGACAGTTTCCAAAAACCCTTCTGGCATGATACATTTTTGGAGAAGAGATGCTGGCTCTGGGCAATAGCCATTTTGCAAAGGGGGAAAAAAAAAAAGTGAAGTCAGAGGGTGATGAGTATCAACCACCCAGGAACCATCATGCTGTATATGCACGAGACGTATGCCCAGCAGGCCTCTTGATGAGGGAGATTAAAATCTGCACTCATTTGGTGGGTTATGTCACCACTGGCTTAATAAAAAGAGCATGGATTCAAAGCCAGGAAATTTGAGTAGCCCTGGCTTGTCCTCTGCATCCATCTATGTGTCAGATGACTCTGGGTCAGTCCCTCCCAATGTCCAAGGTTCCTCATCCCATCCAAAATGAGAGGATCAACTCCTCCACCGCCAGCAGCTGGGAAGGCTCTTGACCATTGCTACAGTTTACGTGTTATGTCTATTCCTATGGAAGTAGCTGCCTAGTACGTGGGTTTCCAGAAACTAGAATGCATTAGGTTCCAAATTCAGTGTCACCACCACTTGGGTTATCTCATGATATAAATATAAAAATAACTTGGTTCTGACTTGGTGGAAGTGGGATTTGGACAGGTGGAGGCCACTGCTAGTGTGACACAGCTGGGCTAACAACTGGAGAAAATATGATTCTGTTCACCTGCTGCGCATTTGTCTACTCTGTTCCAGGAGAAATAACCCCCCTTCTGGCAAAGCAATAGTCAGACGCAGAAATAGGAAATATTCAGGCTCTAAGTTGGTTGTCACATTGTCAAGTGGATGTTTCAGTGATTTTGGTGTTCCCAGCACCTAACACAGTCCCTGAAACATACATAGCAGGATCACAATCGATTTTCAATGAAAAAATCTTTCAACGGGGGCGCCTGGGTGGCTCAGTCGGTTAAATGTCTACCTTCGGCTCAGGTCATGATCCCGGGGTCCTGGGATCGAGCCCCGCATCGGGCTCCCTGCTCAGCGGGAAGCCTGCTTCTCCCTCTCCCACTCCCCCTGCTTGTGTTCCCTCTCTTTCTGTGTCTCTCTCTGTCAAATAAATAAACAAAATCTTAAAAAGAAAGAAAAAATCTTTCAACGATTTCCACACTAAAGGAAGAAAGAGAAAAATGAAACTTCTGATGAATAAATGGAGACTTGCCTGCCATCTTGTGCTAGTCCCATGAACAGTGTATTTAATGCTATTTGCCTCTCAAACCTAAAGGCATTCACTGAAAGCTTATTGAAGGTGTGAATCCATCAGTCAACCAGTCAGTCAGTCAGTCAGTCAGTCACTGGCCTCTCCCCAGTCTTTCCTCCACATACAATTAGTGGATCTTCCGTCTTGATGGTGATTGGCATTTGCCCTGGAAGTCGAGGCAGGACCTGAAACCCATATTCCCTACAGGGGCCTATAGGCCATATCTAGCCTTCAAAGACTGTCTTTGAGTGGGAAAGCTTTGTTGCTGTTTTGTTTCATATTGAGAAGCAGTATACTGAAAAAAATGTTCAACTCTTCCAAAGGATTTGCTCCAGTTACACCAAACTCTTTGTAGCTCAGTTTGTTCAGATCCATCCCGATCATCCTCCCCACCCTACCTTTCAGTCTTGTCTCCCATCACATTGGGGTCCACTCTTTTCTCTTCTTTCTAATGGCTCAAGCGTTCAGGCTTCCTTCTCTTACCTTCCAGCCTTTTCCCAATTGCCCACAGATATTGAGGATGGTTTTAAGCTCCAGGCAAGGACTCATCTTTTCTGGGACAGTTTCCTTAGTAAATCCACCTCCTCTCATACAACTGCCTCAGCCCATTCCTCTCTCTCTATCCCACTTTTGTGATCCTTGTTTTTATCTGCATCTGTTTTCTGTTTAGTTCCCAAATATTACATGAGTCCTAGAGAGCCTCTTATCTGTATCATATGTCCAAGAAATGTTTGTCAATTGACTGAATACCGCAGGTGCCACAAAGGAAAGTTCTTTGGGGATCACAGATGGGTATTTTTTTAATTTAAAAAGTCTTGAGTAAAGGAGACAATATGATCTGTCTGATCTTTCTGAGACTTTCAGACTCTGTCAACATTTATTTGGAAATAAATTCTCAGGCAATTAGATCATGATATCTTACTTTCAGAGAGCCTAGAGAAATGAATATAAACCTTCAGAAGAAAAAAAAAAAGATGCAAAGGCTAGAGCTGGAATTTGACCCTCTTGGTCATGTTGGGATATTGCAACACTTAGAAAATTCAAAGGCTTAAGAAAGGAAAACTTCACTTGGAAGGATACAAGTCAAAGCAGTGGATATGCGCTCTGCATTGCTTATCCTTGAGTCATACCCTTCACCTATCTTCCCAGTCACAGTGGCCACAAGAGAAGTTTTCTTTCAGAAGTTTTTTTATTCAGAAGTGTCTTATTGCGGGGTGCCTGGGCGGCTCAGTCAGTTGAGCGTCTGACTCTTGATTTTGACTCAGGTCATGATCTCAGGGTCTTGGGATCAAGCCCCATGGGGCTCTGCGCCCAGTGGGGAGTCTCCTTCAGGATTCTCTCTCTCTCCCTCTGCCCCTCCCCCAGCATGCGCATGTTCTCTCTCACTCTTGCTCTCTCGAATAAATAAATAAATCTAAAAAAGTGTTTTATTGCAAGAAGTTCACAGATGTCTGTTCCGGTGATTCAGGTTGGGACTTCAGGTCTCACATAAATTTAAATTCTTGATCTCTTTCACAGTTTCCAGTTAGCACTTGTTCTTGTCCTAAATGGATGTTTACTGCAAATATGTTCCTTATGCTTTGGCCATTTAATTAGCATCCTTCTCACAACTTTTTCTTGGTATGGTGGTTTTGTCCACAAATTCTTTGACACTTGTTCCTCCAAAAGGGAGAGTCTAATACTCCTTCCCTTGAGTGTAGACTGGACATAGTGGCTCACTTCTAATAAATGTAGAGTATGACAGAAGTGATTGTGTGTGGCTTCCGAGCCTGGGTCGGGAAAGACACTGCAGCTTCCTCCTTGCTCTCTCTCTCTTGGATTACTCACTCGGGGGAAAGCCAGCCAGCATGTCTGTCATGAGGCCACTCAAGCAGCCTTGTGGAGGGGTCTATATGGTGAGGCGTAACGCCTCCTGCCAGCAGCTAGAATAAACTTTCCAGGTTTATGCGTGAGCCAACTCGAGAGGAGATGCTGCAGCCCCAGTGAAACCCTCAGATGACTGTGTCCCACCTGTCATCGTGACTGAAGCCTCACGAGAAGCTCTGCAGCAGAATCCCACACCAAAGCCGCTTCCAGATTCCCACAGAAACTGAGTGAGATATAATAAAGGTTTATTGTTCTAGGGTCACTAGATTTGGGGGTAATTAGTTTCGGTAATAGATCATATACTTCATGTCACTTCCTGGTGCTCTGCAATTTGGTAAACAGAAAGATGAAGGGTCTAAGGATATCCCAGCTGGTCTCAAAACACTGCTTATTTGGAGGCAAACATATACTAAATGGTTGACTTTCTCTTTGTTTTCCCCATTTGGCATCTGTGATAATGCTGGTTTGGGCAACCCATGGGTAAAAGAATATGATTTTCCTTGAGTAGTCTTTCTCTTAGCAACTGTTGCCTTAAAGAAGATGCCTGGAGATTTAAAGGAGGAAAAGGCCTTTAGACAGAGTAGTGTGAGGGGTAAAAAGAAAGAACTCCAGACTAAATGTCCAAAGTCTTGAGGTTATTCTCAGCTCTGCCACCTGCGACTTCTGTGATTATGGGCAAGTGATTTCACTGCTGTGGACTTCAGCTTCCTCATATGGGGAAAGAGGAGTTGGAATGAGATCCAATCCTCCCAGCGTATGTCCCATAGAACTCCAGTTCCTCACAAGGTTAACAGGCATTATAAAAAGAACCTGAAAGTTTCTGAGGTCAAATAGGTGTGGAAGCCAGTGGGCTAAAGCTAAGCAGATTCCTTACTGCAGGATTTCACAAGGACTCTAATATGCTAATGTGAATTCCTGCTCTTTCAGATGAGGCGATGCATCATTGCCCAAACTTATTTGACCACTTAGTTCTTTATTGTTTTCTGCAAAGCATCATGTGGATCTAAATCATTTTTGGAACACACCTTGGAAAATGCTAAACTGATGTTTCTATGGTTCCTTCCAGCTGTAATGTTGTATGTTACTAAATATGCCCTTTTCCCAAGGAGACTCCCTTGGTGGGGCAGCTCTGCTGTCTGAATCCTGAAGCAGGATCTCAGCCATTCAATAACTCATGACTGTTCTTATTTTCATTTTCCAAACATCAGTTTTGAATCATAGGGTCCACAATCCATCCATCTCTGAGTGAGAAGTAGAGGAAGGTAAGAAGAAGCCAGTGTGTCAATAGGCCTTTTTGCCCCAATCCGTGTTTGTTAATAACCCATAAGAGATCATGTTGACAGTTTTAGGGATCTCAGGCCAATTGAAATAAAGGAAAACGTGACTGGATATGGTCACTTGGCACCCAGCATTTCCTTCCAGTGGGCCTTCTTGTATTGCAGAGTCTAGAAGGCTAAAAACACTTCCCAGATAACCTTTGCCATTGGGAGGTTGCATACAAATTTGGGTTCTGCCAAAGAG